CAGTGGCAGTAATGACAGAGCATGCGCTGTTACGCAAAAACCGGGATAGAGTGAAGCCGCGGAAGTCGAAGCGCGAAGTGGCGAGGGTTCACTGTACACGATTCTCTTCATGGCCATTCAATGAGTTCCCTGTTTGACTGAAGTTCCAGATTGCTCTTCCGACCAGGAAAAAGCCTGTTAAGAAAGAATAACATAGGCCGCATCTTTCTCTTAAACAGTTTACACTTAGGTAGCCTTGATAGTCTCATTTCTTTCATTTTCTTTGAGAATGCATCAAATGATTACAGTGGAGACTTTCCCTGTAAGTGGGAACATGTATGGGACCCCTGTGCGATCTTAGTGAGCATTCTTCATCCATGTCGCTTCCATGTAGCTGCTGTTTATTTCCCTAAGTATTCTGATAGGCTACATCAAGGTGAATGTCCAGTTAGTGCACAGAAAATCCCTGCTCATTTCTGATATCTGGAAGAGGGATAGTGTGCTTTACTCTTTCAAAGTAATTTACAGTAAAGAAATCATTACAGAGAGATCAGTTTGTTACTTGTGCTTGAAGATTGGGACTAATACAGCCTTTCTGGTTGTCTTGCTGTGATGTGATTTCAGTTGTTGTTAGCAAAAGGAAGAGCTTCTCCATGGTTCTAAGTAATTGTCAGATGTGTCTAGAATGACATGGGAGAAAAGCAAGGCAGTAAAGTAAGTATGTAGCCAGTTGAATCCTGTTAGCGCCTACAGATGATGTGTGTAGTGATGATACTAATACTTATTCTAGCGTTGGGTACACAACTCCCATAGTGCAGACGAAGCCCATGGATCTGAATGACCACATCCGCTTTCTGGGGAAGGTTTTAGGCGCAGGATTGATTGAAATTACTCCCCCAAATTATTAAGTTGATTCAATACAGCCCTGCAGGAATTCAGATTATTTTAATTTTCCTAGAAGTTGTAGTGATTTTAGTGGTGGACCATTTCTCAGAAGAGACTCTCTTCACCCCCTGGAGCAATGTTTCTCCAGGACCCCCTGGTGGCACGTTCAGTAAGCATTGGGCTGCTAAGTAAGGGGGTCATGGTTCATACCAATCGTCTGTTCTGCAGGACAGAGGTGAAGCGTGCCCTCTGATATGGTTTCTAGTGACTAAAGGTCAGTTGTGTTCAGACCTGAGGGGTGACTGGGTATCAACTAGGCAGAAATGTCCACTTCCCGGGCAGTGCACACAATTACACTCAACAACTTGCTGAAAGGTTGGTCGTTCAAAACCACACAGAGGTAGCTTGAGATAGGTACGCCTGGGATTCAGGAACTGAGAGGTCACAGATTTGAAACCCGTTGGAGCTCCTCTGTCCTCATATCCTGCATTAGAATTGACACCAGGAAAGCTAACCACAGCCAGAAGGTGGAGTGTGATGATGTTCTGATGAGTACATCTGAGATAATCCTGAAGGTGGCATTGCCCTCTAAAACTACCCCCTACACCAGATAGATGGAGGACTGTGATGAGATTATGTGACAAACACAAACACACAAGTAGGTTTTCTTTAGAAGTCGGGCAGACGAGTGGCACACTGCACCCCTCCAAATGTCTCCAAGTACAGGGATTGGGGGTGAACGTCAAGTGGAACTTTAGGCATGGGCGACAGAGGCACCTTTCTTCATGCCCTGACTGTCTGGTGGGGGCTTTCGAGAGTCTCTTCCCAAAGGCATTGCGCTGTATTGGTTTTCCTCCTTGACTCAGGTAGCTAAAACTGGTCTGGGCCATGAAAAGGGAACCTGACAGGTAGGGACTTCCTGGCCCCGGAAAATTTCTGCAGGTTAAAAGGAGCATGTCAGAGAACAGATGTGAAGGCTTTCTAGATTAGAAATGAATCCAGGTGGTAACTTCGGAGCCACCGTGATCGACAAAAGAGAGGGGGTGTGAGGGGACCGGATTGCTGCAGAAGAAGCCTGAGGGTAGAGCACACAGACACAACTGCAACCTTCTTTTTTCCCCCCTAGGTCTTGGATGCTTAGAAAACAGGGGGCTTTTATAACTAAGGTGCTAAGAAGTCACCCAAGAAATAGCATTCCACCTGGAAAGGACATACATTCCAAGTGATCCTGTCCAGCAATTTGAAGGGAGTCACGCACCACCCTCTAGTCCATTCTGTCAGGGAAGAGGACACCTTTGAGAAGCGGTTATCTTCCAAGAACAGAGGCAGTATGGAAGCCCTGCAGAAACCCACTCAGAGACTTCAAGGAAAAGGTGAGAGTGGTTGAGGACCTGCAGAAGGGAATAGGGGGTCAAAGTCCATGTTGCGGGTGAATGGACTGGTGGCCACCGCTGGGGAAATTGACTGCTTTCTTGTCGCCCAGGCCAGAGGAGCTCCCGAGGGAGTGTTGCGGGTGGTGTCTAATCTCATAGCTTCTGTTGTGTTTTGTTTTTCACGTAGGTTTGGCTTCTATGTCTACTCACTGGCTCCCAGAGGAGAAGGAGACGCCCCAAATCCTGGTGAGTTGGAGCTACCTCTGTTGTGGTGGTGAAATGCCCTGGATTCAGCTCCAACCCACTGAGGCCCCATGGCCAACGGATGGAAACACTGTCTAGCCTTGCACCCTCTTCTCAGTTGTTTGATCCCTACGTTGTAACCATTTAGGCCTGTCTTTTTTTTTTTTTTAAACATTTTATTAGGGGCTCACACAACTGTTATCGCAATCCATACACACATCAATTGTGTAAAGCGCATTTGGACATCATTCTCAAAACATTTTCTCTCCACTTAAACCCCCGACATTAGGTTCTCATTTTTCCCCTGCCTCCCTGCTCCCCCTCCCTCATGAGCCCTTGATAGTTTATAAATTGGTATTTTGTCATATCTTGCCCTGTCCGACGTCTCCCTTCACCCACTTTTCGGTTGTCTGTCCCCCAGGGAGGAGGTCACCTATAGTTCCTTGTAATCGGTTCCCTCTTTCCTACCCATTCTCCCTTTATCCTCCCTGTTTCGCCACTCACACCACTGGTCCCGTAGGGCTCATCCGAGTCCTCCTGTCTCGTCTAGGGTTTGTATACAGTTTATTTAAGTGGCCCTTTACATTGCCCATCCGGAGGCCTTGGAAGCAGCCATTTGAACTGAGCTGTGCCAGTGTTAGACGAGGAAGGCTGCTTCTGAAAGACGGGCAGTCTCTGAATCTCCTCTGCCTCCTGGCCACACCCTGAGTCCGAATGGATGACACAGCCATGGTCCAATCGTTCATTGCTAATTCTACAGAATGAGCTGTCTGTGTAAAATGGTAACTGGGTAAATGAGGGCTGACCACAACCCGTGCCCTTTTGGAAGGGGTGGTACCCGAAGGAAGCAGAGCCGATCTCCTCACGCTGTGATCCAGCAATAGAACCTGTCACCCAGCAGTAACCTGTCTCCCACAGAAATAAGCACATCACACATACCGCCCAACCATCGTGCTACCACTGTCTGTAAATGTACTTTATTTGGGATATTTCTGCTATATATTTTAGAGAAAGCATACTATAGTTCAAATAAAGCATAATATGTATTTAGAGAAAGCATAATAATGTGCTTTATATTTTATGGACTGCCGCGTTGCATGATGATTGCAATGTTGAGGACTTTATTGGGAAAGATCATTAAAATTCATAAAGGTAGTGAATATGCAGATCGCATTGGGTCTCCTGGTCTCTTTAGCATTACTCGGCACAGGCCCCTCTGGCACGTCCACATTTTTCTGTAGTTGAAATTTCTTTCCGTCTTGAAATCTGACCATTTCCTAATATCTAGCCCAGGTCCCACTTCCAGGATGCCTTCCATTCTTTCTAGCCCATCTTATTTGTTCCCGTACTTGAATTCCCTCCATTATGAATCCTGAAATGCACCGACTTTATGACTGCTTGATGTTGTTTGGAAAGAAGCCTTGATGCTGTTCAGGTTGTACTTCCATTATTAAGCACAAGGTCAGCAGTTCAAATTCTCCAGTGTTTGTGCAGGAGACATATAAGGTATTCTAGTCCAGTAAGTATTTACAGTCTTGGGAATCTACAGCGGCTGTTATACCCTGCTCCATTGGGCCCCTGTGAGTCCTAGTCAATTCCAGGGTAATGAGTTTTCATTTTTTTAATGTTGTAATTCATTGAAAAATTAATCCTTGTGACCTTACACACATTCTAGTCCTAGGATGTGGTCTATGCATTACTGAAGCGCCCCATTGCTTTTGTCCCACACCCATGGTTCCATCCGGGTTCCAGCAGAATTGCTATGGAGAACTGTGAACTGAAAGGCTAAGATGACCTTCTTTAGAGCCTGACGCTCAAGTTCCATGTCTTGATCTCCTTTCCCTGGGAAAGCCGACGTGGATTCCATGTTCATTGATTCCTTTTAGGAACCTGTGACCTTGGAGGACGTCACCATCGCCTTCACTAAGGCAGAATGGGAGGGACTGAGCTCTGAGCAGAAGGATCTGTACAAGGAGGTGATGCTGGAGATTTACGGGATTCTGCTCTCACTGGGTGAGGATGTGCCCCCTTCATTCCTTTCCTTAATTCCGTAGCTATTTATTGATCATCTACTGTGTGCCACTGGAGGTCCCAGGAATTAGTTCAAAGGTTGATGGTTTGAAATGCCAAGCTGCTGTATGGGAAGAAATTCCGGGAATCTTCTTCCCTAAAGATTTACAGCCACAGAATCCCTATGGGCCACTTTTCAATGTTTTAGAGGACTGCACAGTCAATTTTTATTTGTTTTAAGTTAATGATGAAAGGGTTTCTAAAAAGAGTTAATAGGTCACAATGCAAGTTAGTAGTACTTAAGCAATAACTGCTGGAATATGCTGCAAAGTTCTTTCAGGCCTGTTAATAAATGTCCAAAGCACATGTATAACCATGGTATGTACATGGTACATGGTATGTACCATTCCGCCGTATGTCTCAAACTAAAGGAGCTACACTCTCGATTTTTGGCTCAACAAATCCAACTCCCTTTCCCCACTTACGGGACCTGACCTTATGCCTCAAATTCCTGGGCTTTACTTGCTCTGTGAACAGAGAAGTCCACTATTGTCTCTCATGTTGAGACTCCTGGTTGTGTTGCTGTCGATGCTGCTCTTCGTCCCCTCTGCGGTCACAGCTGTCTTCTGGGTCAAGGAGGTGCACGTCCCAGGACAAGCTCTGCTCCTGGCTCTTGCTGGTAGTAAGATTCCCCCATGCAGCCTCTGAGAGCCCATCTTATATACAGCAGGATGGCCATCACAGTGGATCCTGTTAGCCAGCCCTCCCCACTGAAGCCTCTCAGTGGTCCCCATCCACTCCCCAACCCCCTTCTCTTATGTAGACTCTCAGGACAGGGTTCTTTGAGGAGAGCTACAAGGATAATGGCTTGAAAAGCCACATCAAGAATGGTTTGCCCTTCAGGAGTGTCTCCTGTTCAGGGTTCTATTCAACTTCTGGGTTGCATACCTTCCTGTCTAGAGTGATGTTTCTACAGTGTTGTTCTCTTCATTACAAAAGCCTCTCCCTGTTCTGGGTTTCTTCTGACATGTAAATTACTCCTCTTGATCGTCTCCCTGGAATCCTTGAGCTTTCCTCAGGTTTTCATTTCTCTTCCTTCAGATTTTGTTTCTTTTTCTGCTTTTCTAGCTAATTAATCGAGCTTTGTCCTCTTGGATCTATTTTAGTCTTCCATTTACTCAATTCTATTTCTGTGCCCTTCATGGTTTCATCTATTTCTGAAATCATCTTCAACTTCTATTGTTATTTGCTGTTTTCATATGGTTTCCGTTTTCACCTGTCAGTTCCTTCTTACAGTTCTTCCCTAAATTTTTTCTCGTTTTTTTTTTCTGAGTCTCATTTCATTGTTTCAGTAATTGTACTATAGACTCTTTTGGCAGTCTTTTTATGGAACTGCTGAAGGGGATCTAAACAACATTCTTCCAAATTCCTTGTCAGGTAGTTCCATTGGCATTCTTCCTCAGAAAGGGTTTCTGATTCTGCATTTGTTTAAGACACTTGTTTAAGTCACCGTGTCTTGTTGATTTGTTTGAACTGAAATTGTCCTTTGTTTCACAGGTATTGTGGTGGTGGCATAGTTGTGTATACCGGAGGGTTGTGTGTCACATTGATTCTAGGTACTCGTTACCTCTGTGCTGGTGGATGTGATGGAGAATGTGAGCATGTGCACAGTTTAGTGTTCCCGCAGCACAGTTGAGTATGGGTGTGGCTGGTGTTCACCATGTCTGTGATGGTCTGGTGGAGCATGAGGCGTAAGGACACTAACCTACCTGGTGGGCTTGCAGGAGATTCAAGGTAGCTGGTCTGTTCATTGCTTGTTCTTTTCCTCTGAAGCTCAGGGTTGCAGAATTCCCATCTGATCACTCTCGCATTTCACCAAAATGGTGTGTATAGCATGGCTGCCTGTTTTCTGCTACAAGCACACCAGCCCGTCTATGTGATGGCAACAAGTGAGCTTAGTTTTGCTTTGTCAAAGGATCCTGGAGAAGGCTAACGGTTGCACTTCACTATTAAGTATAGCTTGGTGACTCAAAGGCCTCCAGTGGCAGCACTGAAAACTTTGTGGCACTATGCTTTATTCAAGAAGAGCCCATAAAGCCATTTGGGTCGAGTAAAAGAAACTAAATAAAAAGGAAAACAACCTGATAGAGCAGTTCAAGTCTATAACCCAAGTGTTGACCTTGAGTTTGAATTGATGGATGCCAACTCATTTGGTATTGTGAGCTTTGTTGCTCTTTATTTCTTTTATGCACCAGATAACTTTGTAGACCCTGAGAACAGTAAGTAAAGGTCATGCCTATTCCCACTTGGCTTCCCTTCAAGAACAAAGCCCCAAAGTACAAAGAATAAGCCTTATATATGAGAGGACTTCAAAGAGTTTATTAGAAATTAACAGGTAAAATATAAATACTTCATTTCTTAGCCTACGCCTTTCCTTAGGGAAGCCATAAAAATAAAAAGTCCATCCCTAAGCTGAGCACCTTGGACGGATAAGTGTGTCAGTGTCTTTTTTTTTTTTTCCAAAGAAAAAAAATTAACTGAAGGAAGAAAACCCATTTAAAACAAAATTTTATGGCCTTCATAACAAATTTAGTTAGGAAGAGGTAAATGAGAACTGTGACATTTATGCCTAATGATTTCCTTTTAATATAATTGCTAACTAGCCTTTTCTGAGCTGCAGAACAGCAACCGGTAGAACAGGAGACACTGCCAAATCCAGGCTATTGATGCTGAGTCAAAATAAGTCTTATTTAGTGAGAAAAATCAACAGGCGCATTGTCCTGGTGCAGAAGTATTCCCTGGGGAAGCACCGTAGGCAATTTTCTGCTACAGCTTTCCCTGCTTTTCTCTGAAGCAGATATTAACATTCTCTAACCCTCATGAACGAAGACCAAGAAAATGCCTTGAGAACCCCACACACTGCACTTAGGGATTTCAACAGCAAGTATAATTAATCAGATGGGAGAATAAAAGCATTGTTGAGAAACAAGTTCCTATCTATAGGTTAATTTCAAGTGTGGCCTTTGATCACTGTTAGTTGCTGCCAAGTGAATTCTGCTCCATGGAGTGTTCTAAGCTGTGTCCTATTGAAATCAAATGTCAAAAAAAAGGGAAAGAAATCAGATGTCTAGGCCTGCTTTCAGAACCTTATAGCTTATTATTTTCCCAATATCTATTTCTCCTACCTAGGGACTCCCGCAGTGAGATGCTGTGTGTCATGAGGGAAGGTTGATGGTCCAGGCAGGCTTACTCATGGCTGTTCTAATGAAAATCTCTCTCTCCTCAGGAGAAACAAAGGAAAATGATTCCTCCATCCTCTTACATATCCCTGGTCAGCAAGTCCTCAGCCAACATCTGCTTCAGGTCTCCCAGGGCTTGTGTGGTGAACATCACTTCCATCCCAAGGGTGCCAGCCCAGGGCCTCAGAAGCAACCAGAGCATCAGGATTCTGAGCAGAGCTGCTGGAGCGAAAACACTGAGAGTCAGGAGAGAGACATCACCCCTAAAGCCTTGCGTGTGAGGACAGGGGACAGAGAGACTTCAATGGAATCCTCCCATCCTACCCAGGAAGAGTCAGCAAGTCCTAGAGAGGGCCAAACAGAGGTAGGGCTAGAGCTCACCTCATCCCCAAGGGTTTCGTCTATGGGAACAGAGAGAGTCTTGAAGGAATTGGAAACCTCCGGGTTTGGAGCAGTCAACCATGGAGAAAACAGACCAGACTCTGCCCATAAGGCAAATCTCAACAGAAAACAGAGATCTGTTCTGTACAAGAAACCCCATGTGTGCCAGGAGTGTGGGCAAACCCGCAGATGGAAGTCAGAACTCATTAGACACCAGAAAATACACACTGGGGAAAAGCCACATGTGTGCAAAGAGTGTGGACGAGCCTTTACTTTGAAGTACCAGCTTAGCATGCACCAGAAAATACACACTGGGGAAAAGCCATATGTGTGCCAGGAGTGTGGACGAGCCTTTCTTTTGAAGGCCCAGCTTACCAACCACCAGAAAAGACACTCTGGGGAAAAACCACATGTGTGCAAGGACTGTGGACGAACTTTTATAGAGCATGGAGCTCTAACCAGACACCAAAAAGTACACTCTGGTGACAAGCCATATATCTGCCAGGAATGTGGCCGAGCCTATAAATGGAAGTCAAAACTCATTCTACACCAGAAAACACACACGGGGGAAAGGCCACATGTGTGCAGGGTGTGTGAGCGAGCCTATGTTTTTAAGGCACACCTTATCAGGCACCAGGAAAGACACAACGGGGAAAAGACACATGTGTGCAAGGAGTGTGGGAAAACCTTCCTTTTGCAGTCAGGTCTCACTGTGCACCAGAAAACACACACTGGGGAAAGGCCACATGTGTGCAGGGTGTGTGAGCGAGCCTATGTATTTAAGTGTCACCTTACCATGCACCAGAAAAGACACACGGTGGAAAAGAGACATGTGTGTAAGGAATGTGGGCGAGCCTTTCTTCGTAAGTCAGACCTTCTCTCACACCAGAGAACACACACTGCAGAATATCCATTTGTGTGCAAACTGTGTGGGAGATCCTTCCGTTGGCGATCAAGTTTCATTCAGCACAAGAAAAGACACACTGGGGAAAAGCCACATGTGTGCAAGGAGTGTGGGCGAGCCTTTGTTTCAAAGACAGAGCTTAACGTGCACCAGAGAAGACATTCTGGGTTAAAACCACATGTGTGCAAGGAGTGTGGGAGAGCCTTCCTTTTGCGGTCAAGACTCACAATGCACCAGAAACTACACACTGGGGAAAAGCCACATGTGTGCAATGAGTGTGGGCGAACTTTTATTTTAAAGTCGCAGCTGCTCATGCACCAGAAACTACACACTGGGGAAAAGCCACATGTGTGCAATGTGTGTGGGAGAGCCTATGCATGGAAGTGCAGTCTCATGCAACACCAGAAAAAACAATGTAGGAAAAAGTCACATGTGTGCCAGCAGTGTGGGCAAAGCTATCTATGGAAGTTCAGTCTCATTCAACACCAGAAAATACACTCTGCAGTAAAACAGCTTGTGT